ACACAGATACACAGACACACACACCCCCCACCTTCCATTCTGATGGCCCTCTCCCAGGCAATGTTTTCCCCTTAGACTCGTTGCCTTTTCCCTCAGCCTGCTGTGCTCCCCTCCCCTGCCCCCCACCTTACCCCCACCTTACCTTCCTTCCTTACCCCCCCTCCCCCCTTCCTTACCCTATAGCTTCGTAGCTTCCTCATCTCCATCAGTTCTTTACCGTCTCAGTGAAACCTGCCCTGACCACCCTGTTTAAAATCCAGCCATTCCTCCCATAAACTCTGACTCCCCTTTCTATACTCTGTTTCCCCCATGGTCCTCCTCTCACATATGATTAGAAACAGAGCAAACAAACAAAAACACCCCACACTGTCATCAAGTCAATTCCCACTTTTTTGGCCCTTCAACTGGACTCCTGAGCCTGCAGATGTGAACAGGCAGAGACGACCTCATCCTTCTCAGTAGTGCCCTATCGATTTCAAGGGCCAGCTGTTCCGTCGGCCACCCAGTGTTTAACCTACTGCACCACCAGGACTTTTGATCTCCTGTGGAGTTCATGCTGTCCACTGTTCATTGTCTGCTCCCAGTTAGATGAAAGCTAATTCAGGTAGTGATTTATTTTGTTTTCTGGTCTGTCTTAAGGCCCTGGAGAAATGTCTTGCTATGGTGGTGGTGGTTATGTGTCGTCAAGTCATTTGGGACTCATAGTGACCCATGTCCAACAGCCCTAAACCCTGCTCTATCCTGTGTCAATCGCACTGCCTCTGACACACTCATCCCAATTGCCCCAATCCCCGAATCAATCCATCCCATAGAGGGTCTTCTCCTCTTGTGCAGTCCCTCCACCCTCCCAAGCTTGATGTCCCTCTCCAAGGACCTGTCCCTCCTTACAGCATGTCCAAAGTATGTCAGACGAAGCCCTAGAATCCTTGCTGTGGTAGACACTTAATAAACAATTTGCTGAATAAATGAACACATTTTTAATACCAACAAAATATTAGAACCTCAGTCAAAATATTGAGTTAACCACTAAGCCAAAAGCCATTGCTGTCGTGCCCATTCCAACACATAGTAACCCGAAAAGACAGATAGAATGGCCCCAGAGGATTCTCAAGGTTGTGTGATGTTTGTGGAAGCAGACTCCCACACTTTCCTGGAGGATGGCTGGTGGCTTTGAACTGCCAATCTTTAGGTTATCAGCCTAGCATTTAAGCAGTCTACTTTAGATGTTCAGACATCCATTTACATTCAGCTCAATGTTTGGCCTGTGTTTTTGTACCTATATAGGATAATGTTATCAGAAACAATGGAAACCTTAGTTAGTCTTTGCAGTTGACTCAACCCTGCTCACTTGCTTGGCATCAGGTGTATGAGAAAGTTTGCTAACTTAATAAGAAAGCTCTTTAATAAAAGGGTAGAGAGAATGATAATTTCTGCCTAAGATCTTCATTTAACCAGAAAATGAAATAGTGTAATGCTAGCCCAGCAAAGGTCTTTTTTAGTAAATTCCTAAAATCAGTGTTTGTGTGTATGCCAAGCCATTGAATAACTCCTGTCTGGCAAGTTATAAAGTCAGAGAGTTAACTGATATATTCCCAAAGATCCTTTGAGAAAGCAGGGGAGTTGAAATACTCTTAAACTTAATTGCAAAGTTTAATTAAAATGATCCTTCTTGTCACCAGCTTAAGCAAAGCAAGGTATTTATTTAAGAAGAATAAGCAAAGGAAAGATAATTAGAGCTTGAAGAAGTCTATTTTTTTTTCATTTTCTCCTTTAATCATAGCTTTAATAATTTGTATCCTATTAATTATTTTTAACAGATACACACTACTTAGTCATAATATCGTAAATCGTACAATGAATTTGAATTTCATTTATCCTGATTGATTATCCTTCAGACAAGAGTTGTGCTGGGACTCTTTCCTTTATGCCATGAGGGACAGAGATGGCCGAGCAAATTGGCAATAAAACCTGATTTTCATGTTCATCCCATTTATCTAGACTCATCTGCCAGTAAAGAAGAGTACTGAATGTACCATGGACTGCCAAGAAAACAAATAGATTCATCCTAGAGAGGGTTAAACCAGGCTGCTCCTTGGAGGCAAGGATTCTGGGGCTTCGCCTGACATACTTTGGACATGCTGCAAGGAGAGACAGGTCCTTAGAGAGGGACATCATGCTGGGCAGAGTGGAGGGACAGCGCAGGAGGGGAAGACCCTCTATGAGGTGGATTGATTCAGTGACTGGGGTAATCGGGATGGGTGTGTCAGAGGCAATGAGATTGGCACAGGATAGAGCAGGGTTTAGGGCTGTTGTACATAGG